TGTGTGCGTGCGCACGCACACACATGACCAGGGGTGGGGGAAGGGTAGAGGGAGAAGGAGAGAGAATCTCAAGCAGACTCCATGCTGAGCGCAGAGCCTGAGGCCACACTTGATCTCATGACCCTGAGATCACAACCTGAGCCGAAATCAAGAGTCGGACACTTGACCGACTGAGCCCCTAGCCGCCCCTGTGCTAGACACGTTCAAGGTATTAACTCATTTAATCCTAATATTAACCTCCCTTTATAGACTTTTTACAACAGAACAGTTTTAGATTTACAGAATTATTGAGAAGATAGCACAGAGAGTTCTCATATATTGCACACCCAGATGCCCCTATTATTAACTTTTGCATTAGCACGGTACCTTTGTCACAATTAATGAACTAAGAATGACATTTTATTATCAGCTAAACTCCATAATTTACTCAGATTCTCTTTGTTTTTCCCGAATGCCCTTTTTCTGTTCCAGGATCCTATCTACCACATTACATTTAATCATTGTATCTTCTTAAGCTCTAACAGTTTTATCCCTCCCCCACCCTTAAATTTTAATTTTTTGGTAACAGTTTATTGAGATAAAATTCACATGTTATAATATTTGCCAATTTAAAGTATACAATTCAACAGTTCCTACAATACTGACAGAGTTGTGCAATGATTACCACAATCAATTTTAGAATGTTTCCATCACCCCAAAAAGCAATCCTTAGCTATTCAGCTATTAGCTTCAGCTATTACCTCGCAATGCTCTCCCCCTTCCCACCAGCCCTAGGCAACTACTTATCTAGTTCTTGTCTCTATAAATTTTCCTATTCTGAAAAAAAATTTTTTTCCTTATTCTGCATGTTTAATATATAGGAACCATATAATATGTGGTCTTTTGTGACTGGCTTCTTCCACTTATAATGTTTTGAAGATTCATCCCTGCTATAACATGCTTCAGTATTTCCTTTTTTTTTTTTTAAAGATTTTATTTATTCATTTGACAGAGAGAGACACAGCGAGAGAGGGAACACAAGCAGGGGGAGTGGGAGAGGGAGAAGCAGGCCTCCCGCCGAGCAGGGAGCCCTACACAGGGCTCGATCCCAGGACCCCGGGATCATGACCTGAGCTGAAGGCAGACGCTTAACGACTGAGCCCCCCAGGTGCCCCTTCACTATTTCCTTTTTATAATGACTGAATAATATTCCACTGTATGGATAAAGTACAGTTTGTTTATCCATTCATCAGTTGATGAATACTTATGTTGTTCCACCTTTTGCCTATTTGAACAGTGTTGCTATGAATATTCAGGTACAAGGTTTTGTGTGGACCTATGTTTTCAATCCTCCTGAGTACATACCTAGTGGTGGAATTGCTGCAACAAGTGGTAACTCTATGTTTATCTTTTTGACAAACTGCAAGGCAGTTTTCCAAATTAGCTGTACCACTTTACATTTCTATTTAGCTCCCTTTCTATAGATATGAAATTGAAGCCCAGAGAGATTAAGTAATTTGCCAAAGTCAATACAGCTGAGCAGCAGAGGAATGGAGGTACACCCAGGTGGTCTGTTCCAGAGTCCTAGCTCTTTTTTTTTTTTTCTTTAAGATTTTATTTATTTACTTGTCAGAAAGAGAGGAAGAGCACAAGCAGGGGGAGCGGCAGGTAGAGTGAGAAGCAGACTCCCTGCTGAGCAAGGAGCCCGATGTGGGGCTCGATCCCAGGACCCTGGGATCATGACCTGAGCCGAAGGCAGACGCTTTAACCGACTGAGCCACCCAGGCACCCCCAGATTCCCAGCTCTTGACAATTACATTCCACCACTGGAGCCAAGAGAAGCTGTGAGATAACTGACCTTCGCACCATGTCTGATTCTCACCCTTTTAGGAAGGGTACCTATACTCTACATTCCTGTTCATGACATCTCTCTGTAGATTTGGAATCCACAACCTTAAAAAAAAAAAGATGCGGGGGGCGCCTGGGTGGTTCAGTCGGTTAAGCATCTGCTTTTGGCTCAGGTCATGATCTCAGGGTCCTAGGATCGACCCCACATCAGGGTCCCTGCTGAACAGGGAGTCTGGTTCTCCTTCTTCCTCTGCCCCTCCCCCTCACTCATGCGCTCACTCTCTCAAAATAAATAAGTAAAATCTTAAAAAAGAAAAAAGATTTGGAATCCACAAATTAATGGAGATGGGGAGAACAATAAAGAATCATAAAAGAGAAATAAAATTATTGCAAAAAACATTTTGATGAAAAATATTATATACTATGAGATTCTTTTAGTTTAGAGGGAAAGCAAGGGTGCATTCTAGCAGTAGTCAAGTACATAAAAGGTTAAGGTAATGAAAGTTCATGTGTGAGCCATTTATCACCTCCTTGAATGAGAAGAAATGGGCTTTAATCTATAGAATAATAAAAACCTCCTCATCATTATCAGACACTGAAATTCTATTAGAACCCTTAGGGAATCATCCAGAAATATTATGACTTAAATTGAGTACTAGCTAGGAGGAAAGATGGACCAGATGACCTTGCGGTTCTACAACCGCAGGGATTTCGTGCAAGCACACGTGCTACAATCTTTGGTCCACAGACTCCACGTCCTTTCACCAGGACGAACTTACCCCGAATGGCAGACAGATAAACAAAGGTGTCCTCATGCTCCAAGTTCTCCAAGAATATCTGGAACCACAAAACAGAGCAATGGTATGATTCGCAAAGAGCAAGCAAGACATGAGAGCCCCTTAGGGCAGCCTCAAAAGAATAAGTGCCTTTCTTCTCGTTTGTCTTAGCTAGACATGGATCTGACTATAGAATCTTGTAGGGAAAACAGTGTGTATGTTTGAAGTCCCATTTTTTTTTTTTTAAGATTTTATTTATTTATTTGACAGAGAGAGACACAGCGAGAGAGGGAACACAAGAAGGGGGAGTGGGAGAGGGAGAAGCAGGAGAGGGAGAAGCAGGCTTCCCGCAGAGCAGGGAGCCAGATGCAGGGCTCGATCCCAGGACCCCGGGATCATGACCTGAGCCGAAGGCAGACGCTTAACGACTGAGCCACCCAGGTGTCCCATGAAGTCCCATTTTTATAATCGCTAAAGAAGGGTGGCAAGTTAGGGGGAGATACTTCTTGAAGTGGCTAAGTATATACCAGAAGTAGGCATAGAAAGCAAAATCTGGAAGAAAAATCCTCAACATTTTCTCCACTACTGCCCATATGGTGGACAATTCTCACCTGTGTCGTGGCAGACTACCAGCCACGACACACGAGATGCCGTGTTTGGGGTTAGGTCCAATTGAAGGCATATTTGCTATAATTTGATCCTGCTGCACTCAGAAATATACGGAAATGCAAGTGACAGATATTATTGGACTAAACCTGTTCTAATTTATTTTTTTAAACATTTTGCAAATTTCAGCACTTCAACTGGCATTAGTAACAAATTGTTTTCAAAACAGTAGATTATCTCACAATTTAGGAACGCACCAGGGTGTGTCAACTGCTTATCTAGAAGATATGACAGCGACATGTTAAGTTTAGGCCCCAATATGAGGGCCAGAGAAAGATAGTGGCCATGTGCTCATGTGCTTCCTGCTTGGTATCTGGAGGAGGATGAGGTGTCTGTTCCATATATAGTGATGCATCCTTTGCTGGCACAGTGATTCTTGATACCAACTTGGTGCTGCTGGTCTCACAACGGCAGCACGTTAGGAAGAACCTAAATTAGTCAAACTGGAAAGAGGGCCAGGTTGGAAGGGGTAGGGAATCATGTAAGTAAAGGAAGCTTAATCCAGGGTAGTGGCCCTGGGAATAAAGAGGAAGAGACGGAGATATATTTGAGAGACTTCTTGGAAAAATAATTGATGGACCTGACCAATCATGCACAGAAGATGAAGGTTAAATAAGTTAAAGAAAATTCCAAAGATGTTTATAGCATTCACCATCTAAATAGCTGTATGAAGGGCTATGTTTGAATGATTACTCAAAGGAGATATATACTTTGAGGTTTTCAGCAATATTTCAAAGGCAGCAAATCCTTGGCACATTTCCAGGCCTTGGTTGTCTCATCTATAAAATGGGGATAATACCAATACTATAGCTGTTATGAGGACTAGAGATAATATCTGAAAGATACAGGACCTGGCTCAATAAACAGCAGTTATTATTATTATTAACTTATTTGGGGGGGGAGGGGAAGAGGGAAAGGGATAGAGAAACTCAAGCAAACTCTGCACTGAGCACAGAGCCAGAGGCGGATCTCACAACCCTGAGATTGTGACCTGAGCCAAAACCAAGAGTTGGATGCTTAACCGACTGCGCCACCCAAGCGCCCCCAACAGCAGTTATTATTATGACACTATTGGTTCTAATACTTTAGTGACTAAAGATAAATGTTTTCAATCAGAATTATAACTCTTAATCTAATGGCTAAAGTATATGAAAGAAATGATAATGATGATGATGATGATGATGATGATGATGATAGTAATGACAGTGAACCTTTACAAGATGCTCATTATGTGCCCATCACTCTAACTAGTGTTTTACATAGACTTCTTTTTTTCAAGGGGTCAGCAGGGCTGCATTCATTCCCTCTAAAGTCTCTTATTTTTATTTTTAAATTTAAGTAAGCTCTACGCCCAATGTGGGGCTTGAACTAACAACCCCAAGATCAAGAACTGCCTGCTCTACCAACTAATTCAGCTAGATGCCCCTACATAGACTATTTTATTTTAAATCTTTTATTTTTTTTTAAGATTTTATGTAATCATTATGCCCAATGTGGGGTTCAAACTCACAACCCCGAGATCAAGAGTTGTATGCTGTACCGACTAAGCCAGCCAGGAGCCCCTACATCTTGCAGCATAAAGTGGGTCCTATTGTTATTACCCTCATTTTACAGATGTAGAAACTGAGGCTCAAAAAATTTAAATGACTTGTCCAAGAAACTGATCTGGGATTTGATCAGTAGTCTCTTAATCTCTACCCATACTGAGGTCAGGAAAATTCCCACAAAAGGGAAAAAAGATCCTCAGCTAAGCATACATTTTCTCCCACATACATCTCCAAAGTAAAGCACAGCTTCTTCACTGTGATGGAGGGAGAAGGCAGGGAGGTTGGGGGGCGGGGGAAGGCCCAGTTCTGCACAATTTCCCTCTTAAAAGGGGCCCAGAAAAAACAGGTGGCTTCTTGGGAATTTGCTCATGCTGTTCCATCCCCTTTTCTTTCCTGTTCATGATCAGCTGAGTGGTCTCAGTCTTGCCTCCTCAGAACAATTAAAATTTCCCTCAGGGTAGTCCAGGGCAGTGCTTGATACACAGTCAAGTCTCCTGCAAAGCTGCCCCACTCTATGTGCCTGTGGTTTGCCAGTGTGTTCTACTCACCTTGAGAAGCTTCTCCTGCATCTCAAGGGCTTTTGTTTCTCTCCGCTCTATCCAGCAGGAAAGACTTCGCAGAGCAGCAGCCCGGGTTGGAATTTGAGGATCGTAAGCTGATAAGAGAATCTCCTGGAGCTGGTCTGTGGTTACACTTCCAGATTTCTGGTTTGTAGTAGTTCTGGGTTCACTGACCTCCTGAGGAATGAGTGGAGCATCAGATTTCAGGCCCGTTTGTTTGGATTTCTCATGGCTTTGCTGTTGTTGGAGGTGAGACTCATCAGTGTAACTTTCATGACTGGCTTGTTGTTGCTCTTCTAGCTCCCCTTCTGGATCCTTTTTGTTCAGGGTACTCTGGGCAGCCACACTGACAGCCTCAGTGGAAAAGGCCCCGTGTGTAGAGATGGTGATATGGAGATCGACGGCAAGCTCCTGGATGACAGGGTCAGGGTACACCTCGGAGACCTTCTCCAACAAAGGCAGCAACTGCTTCAGGACAGCAAAACCACTTGACTTCAACTACAAAATGAAATGAAAAATGCCAAACCGAAATTAATATAACAGATGTTAATAATGCCTGAGCACAAGGAAACAATCTCAATAAGAGGGGCAGGAAGCGTATCTTATTCATGGTGTAATCAGCATAGTCTAGCACTCGGTAACTATTGTTGAATAATCACAGCTAACACTTATTAAATACTTACCCTGAGCAGGTACTTTTCTGAGTTAAAAATATACCAGTGAGGCATATGATTACACTTAATTTTTACAACCTGGTGGGAAAAACATGGTTATCTTATGGTTTTAATTTGCATCAGCCAGACTACCTACCAGGGTTATTAAGCATCCTTTCATGTTTATTGGCTGTCTGCATTTCTTTTTCTGTGAACAGCCTGTTTACAACCTTTGTACACACTTACCTATTACAGCTATTCTTACCATATCAGATTTTAATGCTCAGTCATATGGTGAAATTCTTTTCCAGATTATTATATTTTGACTTTTATTAATCTTTTTTATTGTATTTTTTTCATGTCTATGTACCTTTTGCTATAAAAAGATGAGTTAACATTACATCAAAAACTAATGATGTAATGTATGGTGATTAACATAACAATAAAATTAAAAAAAAAAGATGAGTTAATATTAGCAAAGTACTTAGTGCCTGACATATAGTAAATGCTATGTAAATGTTTTAAGACAAAATACGATAAACAAAAGAATACCCACATAGTCATACCCCTATGATCCTAGCTATGATTACTATCTTGATTATAAACGGGGGAAACTGAAACACAGAACAGTTAAGTAAAATATACAAGGTCACAGAACTGGAAGATGGTAAGATATGAATTCAGTAAATCTGGCTCCAGATTCTACCCTCTCACCTAATACCCTACACAGTCTCAACTGAACAAATAAAGCAGCTTTTAACTACATTTTCTAAAGTGGCTGGTCAGCATTCAAGGACACCATAGGTCTGGAAGGGACTGGGACAATAACTGGAAAAAGAGAATTTTTCCCAGAAAGTGAGAGTGAAAATTACATAAGGTTTTATTCTCTCTAGAAGCTTTGTGCATAATGCCACATGCCTTCCTAGGAAAAGTGCATGTGCAGTGAGTAGAGAAACAAGAAGCAATGATAGGAGCACCTGGGTGGCTCAGTTGTTAAGCGTCTGCCTTCAGCTCAGGTCATGATCCCAGGATCCTGGGATCGAGCCCTGCATCGGGCTCCCTGCTCTGCGGGAAGCCTGCTTCTCCCACTCCCCTTGCTTGTGTTCCCTCTCTCGCTGTGTCTCTCTCTGTCAAATGTATAAATAAAATCTTAAAACAAAAAAAAAAAGAAGCAATGATAATCCTTTTTTGTTTGAAAACACTAGGAATATTATCATATGGGGCTTCATTAGTCCCTGATATTTGAAAACCTTGCAGGTCTTAAATCCTTTTTAGAACAAGGCAGGGTATTTATTACTTACTCATTCATTCACTTCATTATCCAACCAACCAACCAACCAACCAACCAACCAACCGTCTTTGTAGGACCTATATAACATTCTCATTTAAATTCTATGTCCACAGAACTATTACTGTTTATTTTCCCCACCGCTTTCCTTCCAAGTAAATAAAAACTTGAAGTTCATGTCAGGCTTGTACGTGTAGAATTTCACCATACATTCCCCTCAGATTTCTTTGTTTAAACAATTAGGAACTATGCAAAATGGACAGAAGGTAAATTGCCTAGCTTTGCAACATATGTGAACCTATCTGCATGTGTACAACAACTGACCGTTCCAATATTACTATATCTTAAAGGGAGAAGAGAATATGTACGTCCAGAATAAAAGTATATGTTATCTAAGAAAAGGGCCAATTTCATCAGGAATCTGTGGAACTGGGAAATATATTTTAGTAATAGATAGTAATAGATATTTAGATAATTTTGCGAGTGTTATCATTATGCCAGACTTCATTCAGTAGTATTCCTCTGTAGTGTTATGGACATTTGTTTTTTCTTTAAGCATCTGAAATGGGAATATCTACTTATAGCTACAATGTATGGCCTCTTTTTCAACTGTATACAATAATTTCTTCTTAAAAAAAAAGATAAATAGATCAATGGAACAAATAGAGAACCCAGAAAGAGACCTATACATAGTCAACTGATCCTTTAAGTTTTTTTTAACTGAAGTACAGTTGACACACAATGTTACATTAGTTTCATGTGTGCAAGACAGTGATTCCAGCATAGTCCACTGATCTCTGACAAAGGAGCAAAGTTAACAGAATGGAGAAAAGATAGACTTTTCAACAAGTGGTGCTTGAACAACTAGACATTGATGTGCAAAAAAATGAAATTTTTTTTTCAGTGCAAGAAGGTGTTTTTATTATAGCACAGGGACAGGATCTGTAGGCAGAAAGAGCTGCCAAAAAACGAATTTAGACACAGACTTTACACTATCACAAAAATTAACTCAAAATGGATCACAGACTTAAATGCAAAATGCAAAACTATAAATTCTTACAAGATAACATTAGAGAAACTCATCTAGATGACTTTGGGTATGGCACTGACTTTTTTAGACAAATTACCAAAGGAAAAAAATCCATGAAAGAAATAACTGATAAACTAGATTTCACTAAAATTTAAAAATTTTTTAACTTTTACTCTGCAAAAGACAATGTCAAGAGAAAGAAGACAAGCCACAGACTAAGAGGAAATATTTGCAAAAGACGCATCTGATAAAGTTCTTTGTGTATATAAAAGACACAAAGAACTCTTAAAACTCAACAATAAAACAAACAACCCAATTTACAAATGGGCAAAAGATCTGACAGACACCTCACCAAAGAAGATATATTAGATATGAGATGCTCAACATCGCATGTCATCAGAGTATTGCAAATTCAAACAAGATACCATTACACACCAAACTGAGGGTTCTAGAGGGGAGGGGGGTGGGAGGATGGGTTAACCTGGTGATGGGTATTGAGGAGGGCACGTTCTGCATGGAGCACTGGGTGTTATGCACAAACAATGAATCATGGAACACTACATCTAAAACTAATGATGTAATGTATGGAGATTAACATAACAATAAAAAAATTTTAAAAAAAAAGATACAATTACACACCTCTTAAAACGACTAAAATCCAAAACACTGACAATACCACATGCTGGTGAGGATGTGAAGCAAGAGGAGCTCTCATTCACTGTTGGTGGGCATGCAAAATGGTACAGCTACTTTTGCAAGACAGTTTGGCAGTTTCTTACAAAACTAAACATACTCTTACCATATGCTCCAGCAACTGAGCTCCTTGGTATTTACCCAAATGACTTGAAAACTTATGTCCATACAAAAACCTACACATTGATGTTTATAGCAGCTTCATTCATAATTGCCAAAACTCAGAGGCAACCAAGATGTCCTTTAGTAGGTGAAGGGAAAGAGATTGTGGTACATCCAGACCATGGAATATTATTCAGCACTAAAAAGAAATGAGCTATCAAACCTGAAAGACACAGAAGAACCTTAAATGCATATTACTAACTGAAAGCAGCCAGTATGGAAAGGCTACAAAGTATATGATCCCAACTAAATTACATTCTGGAAAAGACAAAACTGCGGAAACAGTAAAGAGATCAGTGGTTGCCAAGGGTTTGATGGGAAAGATGAATAGGCAGAGCACAAAGAATTTTAAGGGCAGTGAAACTATTCTGAATGATATTATAATAATAGATACATGCCATTATCCATTTGTAAAAACCCATAGAGTGTAAAATACCAAGAGTGAACCATAATGTAAACTATAGACTATGAGTGACAATGATGTGCCAATGTAGGATCACTGATAGTAATAAACGTATCTCTCCTGTGCAGAATGTTGCTAGTGGGGGAGGCTGTGCTCTGTGGGGCAGGAGGGATGTGGGAAATCTCTCTACCTCCTGCTCAATTTTGCTATGCACCTAAAACTGCTCTAAAAAATAGTCTAGGGGCACCTGGGTGGCTCAGTAGTTAAGCATCTGCCTTCGGCTCAGGTCATGATTCCAGGGTCCTGGGATCGAGCCCTGCATCGGGCTCTCTGCTCGGCAGGAAGCCTGCTTCTCCCTCTTCCATGCCCCCTGCTTGTGTTCCCTCTCTCACTGTCTCTCTCTCTCTGTCAAATAATAAATAAAAATCTTTAAGTTAAAAAAAGGAAGTCTAATAACAAAAAAATCCAACTATCTTTTCTTCGAGTTTTCAAACTTCTTAGTCATTGTGGGATTCATCTTATTCAACTGGGTAACTTCTCTAATCATCATAGGCAAGTAGGTGGATTTTGAATCAAATAGTTTATAAGGCTTAAGATTAAAGTTATGCATTCCTTCAGCTTCATAAGCCTATAGATTTCCCACTATGAAAATAATCAGGGAAATCCAAGACTACAGGTGCCAACTATTTTGTTCATAAATGTTCAAAAAATTTTTGAGGTATAAAATAATATTCACTTAATTGATAGATGAGAAAATGGAACCACTGAGTCATTATTAATTATTTCTCAAGGGTCACCGAGGCCATATCAAAATTGAGAATTAACCATATAGCCCTTATTTCTACTCCTGTCATGCTTCTCAGCACAGATCTCATATCCAGACTTCAGAATTCTGTGTAGAAGGGCCTGAGGCCTGAAGCCCACAAGTGAGTGACAGATTCCTTTATCTGGCTGTGTCTCTTCCAGAGTCTCTGGAATACTTCAGAAGTGGAATGAGCAGAGGTATGCAGCCCACGTCTATGATTTCTTTCAGGGTGTCAGGAATGAACCAGTTAGATGGGAGTTGTTCTGAATTTCTGCAAGTTTTCAAATTTAAGAACTGGAGGTTGGACTGGTAGGATAGGATTAAGGGTAGTGAGTGGTGGAAGGGAGCATGTCTGCAGAGGTAAACATATGAGAACCAACTGACAGTCAGAGGAGGGCATGTGTCCACTGAAAAAGTCCCACATGAGGCTTTACAAAGCTCACCTAAGGGGCATACAAATGCTCATCCTGCCTTGTAATGCTCCAGTGAGAATCACTATTTTGGAAGAATCCAAAGGTCTCGTCCAGCAATAAAATGCTGACCTAAAAATTCCTAATTCCAAAAAATACTTATGTTTATTCCTTGTGTTCTTACTTCTATATATCATCTATGTTTCTTCAGATATTTAGCTGAGTAGTTTACATGTCCAGTTCTTATTTCTGACATCACTGAATTTATTTACAAGTGGTATTTTTATTTTGGTTCTAAGTCAGCATGCAGTACAGCTTGTTTTATAATGAGCGACACATGAGATACAGAAATATGAATCTTTTCTAAAAAAATTAAGAATTCACTGGCTTAATCACAGCCACTAGAAGGTAAGCTCCATGAGGACAAAGAGGCACATGATAAATATTTCCTGAATGAGTTCACTCTATGATACTCTCAGAAAATGAAAATGTGGTATGAGATCCCAGGATTTGGGTTTGAGTCCCAGCCCCACCACCCTGAACCTCAAAGCTCACATCAGCTCTGTGCAGCAGTGCGTTAGGGGACCTGATGGGCCCTGGAACATCGTTAAGAAACTGCTTCCTAAGGGGACAGGGAAGTTACAACATCACACTTTCACTGATGACCAACCCTGAAATTTAGAAAACGAGTTTGGAATAACACTTGTCTTGTTAGCAGTCTTAGACCTACACTTTCTCCAAATTAACTCCTCTTCCCAGACACTATGTTCTAATAATCAACTTAATTACATAAATTAGAAAGTAAAGAAAGGTTTAAATGTTGTTCGATTCTGTTTCATTAGCTAAAACAATGAACTCTAATCAGGGGTAGATATAGTATAATCTAGACTGTGAAGCAAAGGCCTTTGCCTGACAATGACTATCTGAAAACATAATTAAGAATCATGACTTTTTTTTCTAATACAAAAACAGAAAACCCAGCATTTCTATAGAAGCCCCTTATGAATCCATGAATCAAACAGGAAAAAACAAAAAAACAAAAAACTAACAGATCTAGGGCAAAAGTAAAGGGGTGACGTGTTTAAGTTCACTTAACTAAATGCAAAGTCAGAGGAATCCAGGATGTAATCAGTGAGTCAGGATGGCTCATGGAAGGGCAGGGACAGGTAAAGACATACATTTGTATCAGTCAGGTGAATCTCTCTTAAAACATGACTAATTTACATTGCCCGTCCCCCAACAACGGGCTTCTAGAAAGGGAAATGGAAATATCTGTGTTCTATTTTCCATTTGGGATGTGGTATAAAATTATAAGTGTTAAATAAGAGAAAAGCAAAAAAACTCTCAACTTATGCAAACAAAGACTATCCTTTTTTCCTTTTTAAAGATTTTATTTATTTATTTGACAGAGAGAGATACAGCGAGAGAGGGAACACAAGCAGGGGGCGTGGGAGAGGGAGAAGCAGGCTTCCCGCTCAGCAAGGAGCCCGATGTGGGGCTTGATCCCAAGACCCTGGGATCATGACCTGAGCTGAAGGCAGACGCTTAATGACTGAGCCACCCAGGCGCTCCAGCAATAAATATTTTTTGAGTGAATGAATTTAAATATTATAAATTAAGCATGTAAAACATACATGCACTCGGGGCGCCTGGGTGGCACAGTCGGTTAAGTGCCTGACTCTTGGTTTCGGCTCAGGTCATGGTCTCAGGGTCCTGGGATCGAGCCTCATGTCAGGTTCTGCGCTCAGTGTGGCATCTGCTTGAGAGTCTCTCTCTTCCCCTCTCCCTCTGCCCCTCTCACCTGTGCTGTCTCTCTCTCTCTCAAATAAATAAATCTAAAAAAAAAAAAAGATCCATGCACTGGACACAAGGCTTTAACATGCTACATGCTGAGAGTTGAACAATGGATCCTGTGCTAAAACAAAACAGATGGAATCCTAAGCAATCAGCAGTTTACACAATCTTCCCCCAACTACAGCAGCATGGACAGGGGCTGAGCTTTGGAGAGCCCCTAGAGTAAGGAACAGAGAAGCGAGTGTTCTCCAGAGATGCCCACCACTGGTGCCAGGTCAAAAAGAGCCCCGGCCTTCTGACAGTGAAGTCTACCCAGGGGACGAGGTGGAAGCGGTACAACTTTCTTGTCCTCTACTCTGGAGAGAATTCTTACTAACACCTGACTTGTTCATCCTCATTCCCCTAAGTGCAACATCCATTCTGATTTTCTACAAGGGTAAGAAGGGAAGCAACAAGTTTCTCTCTTCTCTCCTCCCTCCGTCCAACTTTGGCTCATGTCTGCCACTCACCTGAACCGCTCCTCCCAGCATGACAGCCACCAGCCCCATGGACATACTCAGTGTCTGCGACTCCACGGTACTCTCTGCCTGGTGGGCCAAGCTTGCACACGCTCGCTGCAGCGTGGCTGCTACGAAGTCCACAACCTGCGACAGAAACAGAATTTAGAATCGGTGAGGCCTAAGAAAGAGAATCTCAAAATTCTCTCTACATCCTCATCTTCTTCCTCATCAACATCATGAAGGCAAACACCTGCAAGAACAGGCATAGTGCTCAGTGTCTTAAGTGTACAGTATCACCTACATCTCATGTCAACTCTAGGAGGTCAATGCTCCTGTCCTCATTATTTTTTTAAAGATTTTATTTATTTAGGGGTGCCTGGGTGGCTCTGCATGTTAAGGGTCTGCCTTCAGCTCAGGTCATGATCCCAGAGTCCTGGGATCGAGCCCCATGTCAGAGGCTTCCTGCTCAGCGGTGAGTCTGCTTCTCCCTCTCCCTCTGCCTGCCGCTGCCACTCCCCCTGCTTGTGTGCGCTGCCCCCCCGCCATAAATAAAGATTTTATTTATTTATTTGAGAGGGAAAGAGAGAGAGCACAAGTGGGGAGAGGGGCAGGCGGAGAGGGGCAGAGGGGCAGAGAGAAGCACACTCCCCACTAGGCAGGGAGCCTGATGCAGGGCTCGATCCCAGGACCCTGGGATCATGACCTGAGCTGAAGGCAGACGCTGAACAGACTAAGCCACCCAGGTGCCCCCTCAATTTTTTTTAAGTAAACTCTACTCCCAACGTGGGGCTCAAACTCATGACCCCACGATCAAGAGTCGCATGCTCTTCCGACTGAGCCAGCCAGGCACCCCGTCCTCATTTTTTGGTGAAGAATCTGTGAGCTGGTCAAGGCCACGCAGTCAATAAATGAGAAACCTCACTGATACTTTCCCAAATGTTTTAATATACTAATCCAACATCCTTGACTTTTCATGAATTTTGCCAGGAAATTAAAATGAAAAATGATTTGATACTTTCTGACCATCTTAGAGGGTCCTAGATCTGCTTCTCCTAATGAGGACTCCCCTGCCCCAACCTGGTTGTGACAGTCTGATTCTAGTAAGCAAAGAATGGGGGAAGAGGCGCTCAATTTTATCTAGAACTGAATCCTCAAACAATCTGTACAAATGATCCAGAGTCATTTTTTTAAGTATCAAATATTTTTAAAGGATTAAGATTATTCATATTTAAGATTTTATACAGCATTTGGCTAACTAAGCTTTAAATGGAATTAATTTGGTCAGCATCATTTTAACTGCACTTGTATTAATCACCTTAAGTAGAAATAACTTTGAATAAAAGCAAACACACACACATCCATGTATCTGCATGCACACACGTGCAAGCATGCACACACGCACGCATATTCAGGATTAATGGCTCAAAAGGGAAAAATCATTTTGAAAGTGGTACAGCTGAGATAGGTAATAATAAGCCTCTAAATACCATGCAAGCTTGCATGTTTAATTCTCTGGGCAAATCACATGCTATGCTATGAGTCTTTATTGCAAGCTTAAAGTCAGGAGAATGGCTTGTTACCACTTGTCTTTGGAGCAAGGCAGGAAACTAGAAAGGTTATTAAAAGTTCCACTTACTGAAATGAATAACGCTGGTTATGGCAATTTTCACCACCCTCTCAAGCCTAAGACTTTACTGATATTAGAAGTTAAGGACACTGGCCTTTCTAGAGAAAATGCTACATTTACCATCTTGGGCCACCTATTTTGCCTCCAAAGAGTTTTCTAAAGCACCCCTTGATTATAGGAAGCTTCTACTTCAGCACAAATGTACTGTTCAATTGCTGGAAAAGAACTATCTAGCCTTTCCACTTTTTCTAAGTCCTTCCTCTCTCTCTCTCTATATATATATAAAGATGCTGCAAAACAAGCAGTATGATCCTATTTTTGTTAAGAAAGAAACTCTATATTTGTATGTATGTAAAAAAAGTCCCCAAAACCAAAAAACAAAACATCTGGGAGCTTAAACTGTGGTTTGATAGCCAGCTGTTATTGTCATCCATGAAGTGCCCTTTCCCCCAAGCTTTTTTCTTGTAGCAACAAAACCACCATGCCCATCTGGACAACAGCTCCTCCCGACTACTACTCATCTCCTGTGACTGATGGGGCTGCCAGTCACAAGGATAGGTATGTAACTGAAGCATGTTCTAGAATTTACATACGTTGTGGAGAGGAGGGAGAGACTTTTACTTTTTACTTGACCATTTTTGTAATGTTATGTAATCTAAAAAGCCAAATATTCCTGAATGCTTATAATGAAAAACAGCGGTGCCCTACCCCACTTCTGCCCATCTGCTTGTGGCTCTACAGAGCCAACCACATTTAATGGTTTACGTGCTTAATAACAACAGTAAACATTTACTGTTCACCAGGTGCTGTTCTGAATATGTTACAGATATTCATTCCCTACCTCCTCCCCCCTTCCGATGGGGATGTATAAACCTGCTGCCAACATCCTGGCAGTCAGGTGGGAGCGGGCTGAGGCCTCACTGTTGAGTCTGCAGACAGCAACCTAATGCTCCAGTTTTTCAGTTTGCTGCTGCCACCCAAGTTCAACGTCTCTCAAGAATATGCCTCCAGGCTTTCGCTGGGAAGGGGAGGTGTTTGTACAAATTTGAGGAAGGAATCAAGGGGTCTACTGAACCTTGCAGAGCCTTTCAACCTGTTTTAAGCTCTAAATTCAGCTTCATCTTTACAGCTGATCTACCACCTCCAGTCCTTCCAGTGTTCTGCAATGAGAAGTAGCTTGCCTTTTTTTTTTCTTTTTCTGTTCAAAATAAAATGTGAACAGCTTCATAGAGGTATAGTGTTTTGCTTCTTGACTTCTCCCATGCAGGCACATAGCTCTCCATTTTCGGAGTTGCTAGATCAGCTATTTCCCAGTTTCCAAATGTTGTTACTCTCTTTTATCTGCTATCTCTCCTCTCCTGCTGTTGGCCCCTGTGGATTCCAGAAGGAGCAGATAAACACATGTGTTCAATATACTATCTTTAATCAGAAGTCCATACTTCTTATATTATGCACTTGTTTAATATTTCTACAATGAGCATGTGTTACTTACGTTAAAAGCGTTTTTAATATATGAGAAAAAAATCATATAAAGCACTTCTACTCTGCCAAGTACAGAGATCTAAATACAGAAAGGTGCAAAGGGTAGCAATTTTCTGAAAGGACAAAAAAAGGAAATCTCACTCATCCCACTCCATTTACACTGGCCTCCTTGCTGAGCCCTCCACGCTTGAGACATGCTTCCTCTTAGCTGGAACACTCTTCCCGAGGTATCTCTGAGGCTCCCTCCTTCCCTGCTTCCAGATCTCTGCTCATAAGCCTTTCTGGAGGGGCGCCTGGGTGGCTCAGGAGATTAAGCTACCGACTCTTGATTTCAGCTCAGGTCCAATCTCAGGGTTGTGAGCTTGAGCCCCATATTGGGCTCCACGCTGGATGTGAAGCCTGCTTAAGATTCTCTCTATTCCTCTCCCTCTGCCTCTACCCCACCCCACCTGCTCACGCACACACACACGTGCTCACTCTCTCTCAAAAAAAAAAAAAAAGGCCACTTTCCCAGTGAGGTTCTCCATGACAACTCTATCTACCACTGTCTTTACATCCCTTTTGTTTGATATTTCTCTCTGGTACTTACTTGTTTACTGTCTCTCTCTCCTGCATGAATGTAATCCCATGAGGATAGATGTGTGTTGTTCACTGCTGTGTCTCTGGTACCCAAAAGAGTACGTGGCACACAGTGGGCCTTTACTACATATTTGCAGAATGAAGGATGTGGGGGGGCGCCTGGGTGGCTCAGTCAGTTAAGCGTTTGCCTCCAGCTCCGGTCACGATCCCGGAGTCCCAGGATCAAGCCCTGTGTCAGGCTTCCTGCTCAGTGGGGAGTCTGCTTCTCCTTCTGCCTCTGCTCCTCCCCCAGCTTGTGCTCTTTCTCTCACTCACTCTCTAATAAATAAAATCTTAAAAAAAAAAAACTAAATAAAATTAAATTTCTAAAAAAAAAAAAAAAGAATGAAGGAACTGGGGAGTTGGTACAGGGCTCTGTATCCATACACAGACCACTGAATGGTTTATGCCTCTCTGTATCTTCTCGTATACTATCTGCCAATATGTTTTATTGAATTTTTAATCTTTTATCCATAAATACTTCAATATACATTTCTAACAAGGAGTTTTTCTTTTTTAACAGCACTACTGTAATACCAGGAGTACCCGGCTGGCTCAGTCAGTAGAGCATGCAACTCTTGATCTTGTGATTCTAAGTTTGAGCCCCAAGTTGGGTGTAGAGATTACTTAAAAATAAAAATCTTAAAAAAAACCCAAAAAAACCCAACAACAACAACACATAACTACCATACCATGATTACTCTCGATAAAAATTCCTTGTACTTTCTAATACTTAGCCCATGACTGTTGTAAAAATGTCCTCTCACACAATTGGTATGTTTGAATGAGAATCCACACACTGCATTTAGTTGACAGGTCTCTTTTAAGCTACAGAAGCCCTGCTCCTTCTTTTTTTTTTTTTTTTTTTAAAGATTTCATTTATCCATTTGAGAGAGAGAATGACAAAGAGCGAGCACGAGAAGGGGGAGGGTCAGAGGGAGAAGCAGACTCCCCGCCGAGCAGGGAGCCCGATGCGGGACTCGATCCCGGGACTCCAGGATCATGACCTGAGCCGAAGGCAGTCGCTTAACCGACTGAGCCACCCAGGCGCCCAGCCCTGCTCCTTCTTTAATGCATTTACTTGATGAAGAAACTGGGTCATCTGTACTGTGGAATGTCTCACATTCTGAAATTGGCTGATTTTGCTTCTTCATGGCATAACATTGCTGTACCCTCAGTTTCCTTGATTAGATTCAGATTCACATTTTATGGACTTTTTTTGTCTTTTGTTTGCTTCTTTGTGGGGTTTTGTTTTGGGGGGGAAGAACTCTTCCCAGGTGGTGCTACGTACCTCCTATTGCATTACATTAGGAGACACATAATGTCTGCTTGTCTACTTCTGGTGATGTTGAGATCGATCATTCCAGGCTGAAAATATTTTGGGGAACATACACCGATATCTACACTGATCCTGAAATCCACCAAAAATTAAATGGATAAACAGATGGAAAACAAAATGGATAGACAGATGGAAACATAAATATGTGATAAAGGAAATATAATAAAATCCTAATAGTAGAATCTAGGTTGTAGGTATATAGGTATTCACTGTAAAATCCTTTCAAGTTTGAAAGTATTCATAATAAAATGCTTGGGGAAAAAAGGATCAGTTGATTTGGATGTATTTGGCCTAATTACATTCATTATACAGTACCCCTAATAGTTTTAGCAGACATTGATTGTCACCTAGATCCATTATTTCATTAAGGGATTGCAAAATATAAATTTGTAGGTCTCTTTCTGAATATTTTAGCTGTGATTCTTATATAAAGAAAATTTTTCCACCAACTATTTGGTTACAATGAAATACAGTGCTGACAGAAAAGGTAAGATAAATGTTTTATTCTTTCATTTATCAACTTACAAAATAATGACTTGATGCCCTAGCAACTTCCAGAGATGTCCAAAAGGGATTTTAGGAGGGAGAAGCAGACAGTGGCTCAGGTTTTTATAACTTTGATGTGTTTCAATCCATTGCAGGCATTCTTTTTTTTAAGATTTTATTTATTTATTTATTTGATAGAGAGAGAGAGATCACAAATAGGCAGACAGGCATGCAGAGGGAGAGGGAGAAGCAGGCTCCCCGCTGAGCATGGAGTCCGATATGGTACTCGATCCCAGGACCCTGGGATCATGACCTGAATGAGCCAAAGGCAGCCCTTAACCCTTAACTGACTGAGCCACCCAGGCGCCCCCAAGCATTATTCTTTTTAATGCCCAAAATGCCCTATCTGTGGCCAAGAGGAGATCTTTCAAGCTGGCTCCTGAATACTACTGATATGACTTCATTAATCTCAGGCATCTTCCTTTTATTTAGGCAGAAATAGATGCCCTGAGGCTTATAGTGGACAATTCCTGCCCTAGACCTTGAATGAACCTTTACTCCAACGAGCTTTGTGTTCTTCCAGCAGGACATGATATTTAGAAACTACAGTCCAGCACGAAGGATGCTCAGTGTAGCTGGGTTGTCACTGCTGCCTGGCATGGACAGTGGAATGAGCAAGGGAATATCTATTTTTTAAAAAGAAAAAATTAATTGTGAGTTCATATGAATACTTCCAAATGAAATTCACTATTATAGGAATTTTAGTCAAGTTCTGTAATTTTATATTCATAACTTTTTTTCTTATGCTAAAAATCTTGGTTCCTAATGATATTAACAAAATTACTTATAACATGTATTATTTATAACTTACCCATATGTGTGTGTATTTCAAAATAAATACTAAAATTATCACTAGTAGTAAAACTACTAAATGCAATTTAATATTTTTTTGTGGTTCTTTTCATCTTGATACATTTTAACCTTAGCTGAAGGATAATTTAATGGGACAAGTCACTTCTCTATCAACCTAAAACAATTGTTCCTTAATTAGGAGCAAAGGGAGCTAAGTGCAAAAGCTCAAGTCATATAGTTTTTAAGCCATTTCCCCTTCCAACTAACATCTTCAGACAAAAACATAAGGTCTGGGTGAAAAAGTCTTTAGGGAACTGATATAAACACAGGAGAAACAACTCACCCTACTGGGTAGCGTAGCACAGAGTCAGTGAACTGAAGGAATAAGAAGCCAAAAAAGAAATCATGAACGTAATTCTCATTAAACAGGCATGTAAGTTGGAGCTGACAGACAGCTGCAAATTTTCTCAGCAGGAGCTATAGTGAAACGCTGCTTAGCAACACCCGAAGGCAGATGATAATGAGGGCGATACAAAGAGCTGAAGAATCAGATTTAAGTGTGACAATGATACCATCTTACAACTGACTATTCACCAGCCAAGCAACAACTAATTCTGGTAATAATGGTAAAAATATGGTGACTGCATTGCCTACGCTTTATTACTTCTATTTCCTGGGTTTTGGTTGTTGTTGTTGTTTTTAATTTTTTTTTCTTTTTAAGTAGGCCCCACACCTAATGTGGGGCCCAAACTCACGACCCTGAGATCAAGAGTCACATGCTCTACTGACTGAGCCAGCCAGGAGCCCCCTTTATTTCCTATTTTTTATAAAGCTGGTAAATATAATGTCTGAGCCAACAAGATCCAGGAACTGATTCACATAGCTACCCTTCAATCATTTTAAAAAACATCTTAAAACTTCATAGGCTGCTGTGGAGATAGGCTGTCAGGTAGATCTATGAAATTCAAAGTGGTATTATTATCATTAGCCATTTTTTTTTTCAAATTTAAGTTTTCTAATCACGCTCAACTTTTGACACACGTTAGAATCATCCATGGGGCTTAAAAAAATACAGATGCCCAGGCGCTAATGAGGATATGCTGGATCAGAATCTCTATAAGCAGTGGGTCGGGCATCCATATTTTGAAGAAGACTCAGAAAACTGTATTGGCCCCCCAACTTGAGGACCCTGTAATGTAACACATCAGTATCTACAACAATTCTCAAAGTTTTCTCTGCATGAGAATCACGTCCGGAGCCTCTCTAACATGCCAGCTTCTCTAACACGGCGGGACCTCCACAAGTGCAGATTCCGTTGGCTGTTGTGGGCTCAGTACTCTGCAGGTTTAAGCAGCATTCCAGGTAACACTGAGGCAGGTGTCGTCAAGCCATTCTCTGAGCAATTTTTTTTTTTTTAATATTTTTTGGAAAGCATGTAAAGAAACCAAAATAGACAAATACTACCAGCCTGGGATCTGGGATGTGGCAGCCACTGACCTGAGTGATGTTTGTGAATAGCTGCTCAGACATCCTCTCGCAGAGAACAGTCAACAGCTGGAGGACCAGCAGCTTCTGCTCCTGGCGTTCCACAAGAGTTTGGTGCTGCTCTAATTCCAAGAGGCTTTTGCTGGAGAAGGGCTTTGTTTTTAACTCTGCTTCATTTTCCATGGCCACATGAGTCAACTCCTATCAGCATTGGAGAAAAGAAAAAGTGAAGGAAAAAACCATAGAACTAAGGGCATCAACAACAGTGAGAAAACTCTGTTTGAAATGTATATGTAAAGAACTAGTCTAAGTGTTCATTGTAGCATTATTTATAATAGCCAAAATTTGGAGACAAAGGTCTAGCAACAAGAGAAGGAATAAATAAATTGTATTTATTATACTGGAGCAGTTGAAATAAATAAACTAGACCAATATGGACATCAAAAGAAAGATCTCAAGAACAGTGTTGAGTGGAAAATGGAAATTGTAGAATAATATGTGTATTATGATATTTATATGAAGATTTAAAACTTCATAATAAAAAGCATACCTACACAAAGAGAACTAGTTTGATAGGCTACTTACTTTATTAGCATTTTTTAGGATCTCTACCACTAGCCCTGCTGAACTGAGACCTCAGGCCATGTAACATTTTCAAACCCTTTTTAGAGACTATTAAATGCTTTCAGCACTTTTTTCCCTATAATATTTAATCTCTACTAATAGATAATTCATTACTGTGGGGTTTGTAGGCTTTTCCCCTACACTTCACACTGTAAATTTCCTTGGGAAGGGAAAACCTTAAGTTCCTTAACAATTAATGCTTTACCAAAGTAAGTGGCAGTTTATTATTTTTTAAAGATGTTATTTATTTATTTGACAGAGACACAGCGAGAGAGGGAACACAAGCAGGGGGAGTGGGAGAGAGAGAAGCAGGCTCCCCGCAGAGCAGGGAGCCCGATGTGGGGCTCGATCCCAGGACCCCGGGATCATGACCTGAGCCGAAGGCAGATGCTTAACGACTGAGCCACCCAGGTGCCCCCTAAGTGGCAGTTTAGAGCAATGGTTCCCAACCATGCCTGGGAATTTCTGCTTCCCAGGGGACAGTTAGCAATGTCTGAGGACATTTTTGGTTGTCATAATTGGGAAGCGATATAGGCATCTAGTGGTAGAGGTCAGGGATGCTACTAAACATCCTACAAGAAAGCACAGGAGGGGCGCCTGGATGGCTCAGTCGTTAAGTGTCTGCCTTCGGCTCAGGTCACGATCCCAGGGTCCTGGGATCGAGCCCCGCATTGGGCTCCCTGCTCAGCGGGAAGCCTGCTTCTCCCTCTCCCGCTCCCCCTGCTTGTGTTCCCTCTCTCGCTGTGTTTCTCTCTGTCAAATAAATAAATAGAATCTTTAAAAAAAAGCAAGCAAGCAAACACAGGAAACCCCCGGCCTCCCAACAAAAAAATTACCCAGCCCAAAATGCCAATGGTACTAAGGTGCAGAAACCTTGGCCCAGAGCAAAGCCTTCTGATTTTTTTGTTTTTTTAAAGATTTTACTTATTATTTACTTTAGAGAGAGAGCATAGGGTAGGGAGTACAGATGGAGAGGGAGAGAGAGAATTTCAAGCAGGCTCCATGCCCAGGGTAGAGCCTGACAGAGGGCTCGATCCCACGACCCTGAGATCACAACCTGAGCCAAAATCAAGAGTCGGTCGCTTAACCAACTGAGCCACCCAAGCGCCCCTCTTTGTTTTTTAAACAATTTTTTTTAATTCTCCATTTAAGAGCACATCTTCTTGGAATGTTATTTACAATGAGTGGCTAGGTAAGGGGACAGAATGTAAATACAGGAAGAGATGCCTGGGCGGCACAGGCAGGGTTGAGTGGCTGACTCTTGGTTTCAGCTCAGGTTCTCAGGGTCATGATCTCAGGGTTGTGAGATTGAGCCACACATCAGGCTCTGTGCTCTCCAAAATAAATAAATGAATCATTTTTTAAAATGTGAACACAAGAGGTGAGAACGTTATCAAAACAGTGGCCCCTACTTCAAGTTCTAGAAGTGTTAGCCCTGATTCTCTCCTTGCAATTCCCCCATAACCACACCAACCTTAAACTCCACAAACATTCTCTTAGACACTTTATTTAGGGAAAATAATGGAGAAAGCAGAGCTGGAGGATAGAAAATCAGAGATCACCCTGTTTACAGTACTGGGTACTAGCTGCTGTCAGAGATTAGAGCAAGAGGAAGCACAATCACCAGCACTAAGAAACAGACCCGGAAAAGGATTCAGGTGGTTACAAAATGAAATGAGAAAGGCAGAACTACTAAATCTCCTTTCCAAATACCTGACAAAACAACAGTCAGAAAGGATAAAGGATTACTCCATAACTGCAAAGCCTGCTATTAACTCAAAAAGAGTACTTACTGTCAACACAGAGCAAAGATTAACCCTTCCATAGATCAACAGTTCTACTTTGGTCATCTCTCAAAATTTAGGGCAGATTACCTTGGGAAATAGTTCGATCATACATGTACTGCTGAAGGTAAGGTTTTTTTCTTTTTACCTACCCAAAGGCTATTAAAAAATAAATTACTCTTACATCCTCTGATTATTTCTCTCTTAGATTAGGACCTTAATTTTAGGAGCTAAAATTATGACTGCCCTGGGGCGCCTGGGTGGCTCAGTCGTTAAGCGTCTGCCTTTGGCTCAGGTCGTGATCCCAGGGTCCTGGGATCGAGCCCTGCATCGGGCTCCCTGCTTGGCGGGAAGCCTGCTTCTTCTTCTCCCACTCCCCCTGCTTGTGTTCCCTCTCTCGCTGTGTCTCTCTCTATCAAATAAATAAATAAAATCTTTAAA